TTTCTAACCTGGCTTGTATTTATTGGAAAAATTTAGTAGCTGAAATAAATTAATTCATATATTTACCTGTAGTTTATATACTGCATCTTCCATGTAGCAAATCCCTGTGTAATACAACTGTTTGAGAACTAGAAGATTGTACTCCAGTCTCTTAAGTTCCACTTCTAATTTTCAGCATTTAAATGGAGGCAGTAGTATTTACTCTTTTGCCTTTTTGTTTCTTGCAGGTATGTTCGAGCAGAAGTACTTGCTGGTTTTGTAAATGGTTTATTCCTCATCTTTACAGCATTCTTCATTTTTTCTGAAGGCGTTGAGGGCTTCTGGAGAGCTTCTCCCGAGCGGGAGCGCTCTCGTGGGTAGCGACCGGCTCCACCATCCGTCCCCTCGGCCGGGTCCCCGCGGCTCAGGCGCTCCTGCGGGGGGGCGCGACTCGGCGCCTTACGGAGGAATGCTGTTTGAAACCGGTGTCTGCCGGCCGTGCTGCCGGGCTCTTTGCTGAGGAGGAAGCCTGGCCTTGGCGTGAGTTACAGCACCCAGGGGCTGGAACCGTTTCGCGCCTGCCGCTCGCCGCAGAGATCCTTTGTCTGGGAATGTGGCTTCATTTGTAAGGCGATAGGTGGGTGGCAGAACCCAGCACTGCACCAAACATCCTTGTCTCTGAGTGAGAAACAGGAATTAGCACTTCCTGGTATAGCTAAGTAGTACTTTATGTAGCACATAAATACACCAAGGTGGAAAAAACAGGAGGGACTTGACTAAATTGCTACTGAACAATCTGTAGTAAAAGGTAAGCAGAAATGCAAAACACCTTTAGTACTGATGTATGGTCTACAGATAGAGAACAGTCAATGGTAGTGGTATCTCCATCATGCTTGATTCTTGACAGAGTTGTTTTATGGTGGTATTTCAGTCAGTACTTCAGTTCGAACTGGGCAGGTGTAGAAATGACATTTAAGCCCAACAGTGTGTCCTTACATGTGGAACTTAAAAAGTAGCCTATATCAAAAGCTGTAGGATGGACATAGATTACTGGGATTCTTAATCAGGAGTCTTGAGTGAAAGCAGCAATTCAGGTTTGGAAACAGTTGCATCCTACTATTTATCAGTTTTTTCTGAATCTCTCAAACTGTATTATGAAATCCTTAACCTTGATTACAGTAATTGCTACTATAGCCCTAGTGAGAACACAGGATATTTTGGCAATGTGCGGACCACCTTGGATGTGCTTGGTTTCAGCTTTGATGTTGATTCACTTTGCAATTGTGTAGGGCTTGTTGTATGTGTGGCGTGTTTATTCAGGCACAGGCTTTTTTTAATAGTTTAAAAGATGCAAATATTTTTCTCAGTGGTTCAGATATAAGGAGCTTTATGTTCACGTGAGTTTGTTCTGATATCTTTCTTTTAAGCATAATAACTTTATTGACAGTGTGACCAGAAGTGAAATCTATACCAGAAACAGTCCTGTTTATGAAATAATTAAACTGAGAAACTGAAGCAACACTTGCTGGAAATTTGTCACTGAAGAATTTGACTTACGGGAATTGAGAAGACACTTATTTTTGTTTGTTCTAGAGATTAAGAATTGGGATTTGCTAGATAGTTATTAGTTGGACCTCTTGTTTATATTTTAAGTCACTAATTTCAGGTATCTTTATATTAAGCCTAGATTTTGGTCTAGAACAAAACAGTATCTTAGCAAGTACCTCTTTAGTAGAGAGGAGTAGCAGGAAATACAGTGAGGAATGCCTTCAGTCAAAGCAGACAGTTCATGCCTTGGAAGAAAAAAAATGTAACAAGCAAACAAGGAGCCCTGTAGGGAAAATTATTTCTCAAGTTTGAAAAACACAGCTCCTTTGCTTTCCACATGAGACATGCAGAAATGGAACACCTGTAAAGGGGATTTTCTGTATCATCTTGGTACACTTCTTTATTCCACCATGGCCTGTCTTGGCTATGGCCAGTGCTTGATGCTGCAAGTGTTGGAAGCATGATCTTGAATTCTGTTCTCTCTAGTGTCCTTGATGATGTCAGTGAGTGTAAGATAGCAAGGCTAATGGGCTGCCATGATTATTTGTGTGATTCTTCTCTTGGCTTCCACAGGCTAAGGAATTTCTTTTTAACTGTAATTCTGAAAACTACACTTTTATCCATTTAAATTTAAGCAAATTCCTGTGAGTTCTTTGACTAGGATATTCTTATTTCAAAATCAGATCTATTATTTCAGCCACCCACAGTTTTGTCAGCAAGTTTTAAAAGTCTTCAATTTTAATTTCCTTTTTTAAATTCTTACTGTTTACATTCTCCTTAGCTTTTGTTTGCCTAGTAAGTTTTTTCCTGAACTCACATAACTATTTTAACATTTGTATGATCCTCTTGCAAATACTCTGGTATGTTGATGGTCTTGAAGCACATACAACAGAACTGTATGTGGTATTTTGCTAGCTGAGAGCTTGTTTAAATCTGCAACTTGGGGTGTTCTGTTCTAAAATACTGTTATGTGCAAACTTGAGTAATTTGGTATTAAACTTGTGTTTTTAAATCAACTATGGAAGCATCTTCATTTAGACACAATGTGTTTGAGTACGGTGTTTCTATTAGATTATACTCTGGGTGATGTGTTCCAGTTCTAATGGAAGTTCTTGCATACGTTCATGTTGCTAGTGGTTGACTGGATTGCTTCTTTACTTTAGTAATCACTCTGCACCCAGTTTTTTAAGGTCTCATTAATTTACAGGTCATTTTAAAAAAGCCTCAGATTAAATCAGATTGGCCTCTTCCTAGGCTTCCTATTGTTTGTGCAGTTGAATCACTCATAGCTGTACCTGTAATACAGAGCATCTTGATGCCATGTGGTGAGTTGCGTTGCAGGCACAGTCTGTACAAACCCTGCTGATAAATCCATATGTCTCTCGCTACTTGGAGATGTTAGCTTATGTCTTGTTCGCAGCACAGCTCTGTTCATGTTGCACCTATGGTAAGTCTTGTCTCTGAGATTTGCAGGTGTGAGCACAGTGCCATGATAACTTGCTGTATGATTTCTGGTTCTAGAGCTAGTATGGGATTTTGTTTCAGTAAGAGTCCTTATACACTGTTCTCTTTCCCAGGAGAGACTGCACAGAAAAACTGCTCAGAAACCACTACCTATCTCTGTTTTGCTATGATTACTCCTTCCATTTCATAATTATTACGGCCTTGCCTTACTGTCACCTTAATTACCTTCTACCTGGACGTTTGGTGTGTTTTGTGACTTCCCCCCGCCCCCCGATCTTCCTTACTGCTCAGAACCAAAGGTAAAATGAGCTGTTTCCCTGGGGATGTCACCTGATTTTGGGGAGAGGGAAGCTGTCACCTACACCCTTCAAGCAGTTGATAGGGACTTCCATTCTGCTGCTTCATCGTCATCCAGCTAAAAACTTTGGTCTTCCTTTACAGTTTGTTCAGAACAATTTCATCTATTTCCTGCTTTGGTGCCTGGAGCTCCTAAGGACAGTCTATCATGCCATCATCCTCTGCCTTAAATGTGATACTGTTGTATGTATATATGACTCTAGATGTGTCCATAAAGTATATATGTAAATATAGAGAGAGCAAGACACTTCTCTCTCCTCTCCTCCAAACCCACTTCTTCCACAGCTGAGTGTTTCATCTGAAGCACTTCAGATTAATCTTGAAATTGATTTCAGTCAGGCTGAAATGCTTTGGTTTCTTAATGTGAAGTAGTCTGAACTTTGGCTAATGAAACTTTGTGTTTGACTTCTAGAGGGCAGCCATGTTTTCACACTGAACTTGTTTCTGCCAGTAATTGCTTTTGGTTCGTCAGCTTCCAAGAACTGATTGTGTATGTGATTGTACTTAGACAACCAAAGGATTGTGCAAATGGAACTTTTGGGATAATTGTTCCAAACGCTTATTAGTGCCTCTCTATCAAATGTCTTTACAAATATGAAGCAGTTTTTGTGTTTCAGTGCATGTGCTTTCTTGCAGACTTACAGAACCTGTTTATGATTAGTAATTTAGTGAAATTTGGCAACTGTTATATGTGGTGTTAAATCCAATTTACATATAGCCTACAAACTGGTATGAGTTCTATTGACTGCGTAACTTGTGAACTAAGTTAAGTTGCTTTGAACTTTGTAGGGTAAAACAGCATGCTAAACTTTTCCAGTGTTTGTCAATCAAGATCGTAGTTATGCATTGGTCATTGACATAAACCATTTAAGGAAGTGGTCTTTCAGCCTCTGCTTTCCTTCAGCTTCTAGATCAAAGGGCAATGTGTGTCTTCTAGTCAATGCCTTCCAGTTGATAAGGCAAGGATTTAAGGACTGATAAGGTTTACAAGCAGTGTCTCATCATTTTTCTAATACTACTCTCATTTTTAAATGGGAATTAGCTTGGATCCATTCAGCTGAAAGCACAGATAGAACAAGCATTTGTTCGCTTTTATTTATGTGTGGACGTATTCTGGTCAAACTAGAAGAATAATGGTGATCACCAGGAAAAGGAACAAACAATTGCTATCTTAATGCTTAACAAAATGAAGAAGCAGCCATCCATAGCAACTTAGCACTCTTGTCCACTTTTTTTATTTTTAAAAATTGTTTGTAGAGCTCTGTGCTCTCAGGAGTACTACTGCTGCTTCCTTTGATTTAGTGTAGCTTCCTCCCAGTATGTTAACCTTGGATATGTGTGATCCCAGTAGAGATCAGAATGCTGTAAACCTTGCTTTTTGCTGTGAAGTAATGTAGTAACTTATCCCTCTCTTCTTATAGTCTGTGATAGTGAGACGGACTTGATGCATCTTGGATAAATACTATACTGTTTATGATTCAGGCTAAGACACAGGATGAAGGTTTGTGATTTGAAATTTGGAGACTGAGCAGCAGTAAATTAAAAAGAATGTAGGTGTGGTGTTTTGTCAGTTCCATCAGGGACTGGATTCTCTGTTCAGGTAAAATATATTAAAGATGGCTGTTTAGGAAAGGTATGTAGTAGTCAAAAGTACTTAACAGTGCTTGCTGTTCTGCTTTTATTTCAGACAGAAGAGAATATGCTCTAATTCCCTGTGTACAGAAACTCCATTTTTTCTACATGCCCTGCTCATAGAAATTGTGAAGTTGAAGCAGTGTGAATGAACATCAAAGACAAATTCTCATCTGATGATGCATTAGTTCTGAAATAAGATGTTTGAGAGGAAAACTGCTCTACTGAAGTAGACTTTACAGTCTTGGAATGTTTGACATCATGAATAAGTGGAAATGTCAGTCTTCACAGGCCTAAAATATTTTGTCACAGGCACATGTTTGTAAAAAATTTTATGAAACTGTACCTTGATTCATTCATTGTGGTTTTTACTGCAGACAGAAAGAATTTTTGAGACCAATTTTTCCCTGTGTGTGGATACTTCCAAAGTATCAAGTTTGAAAATGGATTTGAGAATATTCTTTCGTAAATGCTTAGTGCCATCACTATGGTGGTATTGGTAGTCTTCAGCAGAACAGTTTTAGTGTTACTGTACTAGTTAACCTATATAATATACTCAAAAGCTGTATCTTTAAACCCATTTTTCTTTTTTTTAACTAGATGTGAAATACTACTTTTACAAACTATGTGGGTTCAGTATTTAAATCCAACTTGTATATATACACTTTTCTAGCCAAATTTGCTCATATGGTCAAACTATAAATCAAAATATAAGTACAGATTTCTGCTACTAGAATTATGTTGGTGAGCGATGCAGCTGTGGGTATATCTACTCAACAGGCTTTGGTTTGTGTCAGTGGAAACCACCATCCACTACCACCAAAATCATACGCTAGGAGAATTTTTTGCCAAGTGCTCTTCCAAAGTGACAAAAGCTTCCCTACACTGACAAAAGTTTTGTGATCGTATTTATATTGGTGATCTAGGGTGGATTTCTCTTCTCCACTAGCAAAATCGTGACTGAAGCTTAGACACACAGTGCATTCTGCTAGTGTGTAAAAGATTAAATGCTGGTTTTTTTCATACTCAACGTGCAGTATATGGAACATAACATTTTTTTCCCCTGTTCTTTTCCAGTTTAGGTCTAATATCAGATTCTTTTCATATGTTTTTTGACTGTACTGCTCTATTGGCTGGATTAGCAGCTTCAGTTATTTCAAAATGGAGGTCAAACGATGCTTTCTCATATGGGTAAGAAACTTCAGGCTGTTACCTTATTATATTTCAGTAAATGTCTAGGTAGTAATTTTTCACTGTATGGATAAAATCTCTTTTTGCAGAACATGGAAAAGCTATGTTGAAAGTTTTGGTTTTTTTAAGGTTAGTTATGTAAATCTTTAAGTTGGTCCCCCTGGAAATAGTAAAAATGTGAAGGCATTGCCTGTGGGGGGCAGGTTTATCGCTTCTAAGATCTCTGTTATCATACTAGTGGAAACAAGTTACACAGCAGAAAATTGCTGAGCACAGTCATGTGTTAATGGCAGCAGTGAAGTAAAAGCATCTGCATCATGGGTTTGTCCTCATCATGCAGTGAGGTGCATTACAGGGAATCTCAGATTGCTGGTGCCCCATGCCACCTTTGAAACCGAAAAGTACAACTGAAAGGAGCTAAGTCTCTGTGATGCTGCACCTGAGTTTATAAGCCATGTTTCTTGGAACCAGCAGGATTCAACTGCAGTGGCTGCCATTAGCACAGATCCTCTAGGCTGAGGTATGTCATCCCACACTGCTCTCTATGGATATAGCTGCTGCAGCCGGTTCCGTTTCAAGGGCACTTGTTTCCGCTGCACACTGCAGTTGTGCCCTATAAAACAATACTGGTTATACAATATTATTAATTGGTGATACTGATTAATTACCAGCAAGTGAGCTGTAACATGGTTGCTGCATTCCCTGTAGCATTACTGACCTGAATGTCAGCATTTAGCTTCAGCCCTCTTGCCTAAACATGGGTAGTTTGAAACTTAAAGTGCTGCTTAATTAACATGGAAACTCCAGTGTGCCTAGAAATCAGTTTAGGAAGAATTGATTGTACCATGAACTAATTGCAATGAAAGAAGGTTTTGTATTAATTACTGCTCTGCATTTAAACAGCTGGTGTTCCATTTATTAGAGAACAACCACAGTTTATTAAGTCTGATGTTTGCTACGTTAGAATTACATGTTTTTCTAACCTGGCTTGTATTTATTGGAAAAATTTAGTAGCTGAAATAAATTAATTCATATATTTACCTGTAGTTTATATACTGCATCTTCCATGTAGCAAATCCCTGTGTAATACAACTGTTTGAGAACTAGAAGATTGTACTCCAGTCTCTTAAGTTCCACTTCTAATTTTCAGCATTTAAATGGAGGCAGTAGTATTTACTCTTTTGCCTTTTTGTTTCTTGCAGGTATGTTCGAGCAGAAGTACTTGCTGGTTTTGTAAATGGTTTATTCCTCATCTTTACAGCATTCTTCATTTTTTCTGAAGGCGTTGAGGTATGTTATGAAGTCAATTGCACTATCAATTGTCTCGTTTCTATTTGTAGAGCGTATTTAATGGGGATAAAATTTTTGAAATTTTTTATAATCATAATTGGTTAAAAATCTGTGATTTGAACAGAGAATAGGGCCATCTGAAATTGCTTTTTTGTGACACGTAAACCTAGCCTTTTCAGTGTATCGGTACTAGCCTCTTAAGTAGATTATTTTGACTATGTGTAAAGATTCTGTGAGATTCATCCTGTGCTTTTTTCAGCCAGTTATGGCTAAATATGTCATAGAAAGATCTTTACTTCTCATTGTTAAAAGGACAAATGAGCCAAGAAAGGCTAGTCATTCAGAGGAGAGAAGTTAATCATTAGAAATGGAAATACATTCTCTGAAGAAGTTGAAGTAACTCATTAAAGAAAAATCATTATCTTCCAAATCTTGAAGTCTGATATAAATGGCAAGTAGTAATAGTTTTAACATTTACAAAAGCACTATTCTTTAATTATTTTTTTTAATACAAGATGGTTCAGGTATTAATTTCAAGATCAAAATTTAGACATCAAGGGTGTCTGCACTAAAGTGGGGTGGGATTAAGAGTAAAATTGATAACTGATTCTGATCAGCTTTCATTAATGCTTTTACTTTTTAATTGGAGGTGGACTAAAAATTTTATTAGACTTCTAGTTCAGAAGACATTCTAGCGATGTTTTTTTTGAATTAATAGAGAACTGGGAGCTTTCAGGAGCATATCCTCTACATAGATAAGCCTGTAATTACTTCAAAATCAGTACAAACTGGGCTGAAATTGCCTAAAAGCTTGGGAAAACTTCAAATCTAGAATCGGCAACAAAATTTACTAGAAAAATGAAAAATTACTACTAGAAGTGTCAAGAGTAATGTTGAAACATCACTCTTCTCTGGTCTTAGCTCCCCTGCTAAGTATTCCCTTTGTTTTTGATGGTGACTCCTTTTCTCTCTGTTATTTCAGAAGTTAACATTTGCTGAAAGTTCCATTGTCTTGCTACTGCCCATACCTTTCATCCTTGTGAACAGATGATGAATGTTTCTCTCCCTTGTCAATAGTAATTTAAACTCTTCAACACTTAGCTTCAGATGCAAATTGTGTTAGGCCTATAATGTCTCATTTAAAAAAAAAATCCAAAGAAAGTAGGGTAAAAAAGAATTTAAAAAAAATTACTAGTCTAATTTTTAGAAATTTTTTTTAATGCCACAACTGTTCTCAGTCGTCATTTCGTTCCCCTCATCACCTCACTCTTCTAATGGCATTCTAGACTCTTGGAAGTTGTTTGGATGACTTGTGCGATCCATGTGTTACAACAAACTTGAATGTTTTCATATGGTGTTGTGCCACATCCCACAGCACAATGAAATCTTATAATAAAAGTTAGCTAGACTATCAGAATGTTCTACTATACTTCCACAGCTTTAATAACAAAACTTCAGATTCAGACAGTAAGAATTAGTCTATGTGCCATCTGAAAAACTGAAAGTCCTGAGTAATTTTTAATTATGTCTTTATGTATTCCTGGGTTTATGACAGTGCTCCTGTATTTAAGCAGTTTTTTCAGTGCCTTTTAATAATGTAAAGAGATTGTTAAATTTTACATTTACTTCTTAGTTTGTTTTTTGTTGTGGTGTTGTTTTTTTTTCTAGAGAGCACTTGAGCCTCCTGACGTGCATCATGAGAGACTTCTTCCTGTTTCTATACTAGGATTCATTGTAAATCTTATAGGAATATTTGTTTTTCAACATGGCGGCCATGGACATTCACATGGCTCTGGTAGGATATCTATAATTTTCAGTAGTTTCCTTTCTTGGCACCCTGTGTTCAAGGATTTGAGAAACCCAGGATTAAATTTTCATGTCGTCTTAGTGGCAATCCTAGCTGAATGTGTATGTGACTTGTTGCAATATTGACTTTTATGTTTTGTCACTAGCTCTAGTATGTCACTTCTGCAGTTCTCATGTTAATATCTGTTAATGGGAAGACCTAAAACTCCAGAATCTGCTTCCTGGAACATGCACTCTTTTGCATCTTATTGGAAGAGGTTTGCAGAGTGTCTTTTGGACAAAATTAATCTGGAGTTAAGTGAGGTCTTGGCTGGAAAATTTACAAAACACTGTCTGAACCAAATTTTAAGTATGGGGTGATTCTGCTTCAGATGCTTCTCAAGTTAGTTTCTTTTGAATTTAAATGCAGAATGTATTTACCTAAATATATATGGTAAACATTTTGTTTGGGTTTTTTCTGTAATGCTAATTTGTATCTCAGTTTAACATATAAATGATATAGAAGTGATGGAAGAAAATAGGTTTTGTTCTTTAAGCAGCAATTTAAGCTTTAATTTTTAATGTGTAAATGATAGCCAGTTTCTAGTTTCTTATAAAGGCTAATTTTATGTGCTTGTATCTAATTATGTGTACATTTTTCAAATTGTACTAAGAGTAGCACAACTTTTCTCACAAGTGGGAATGTATAAAAGCACTTGACTTCTCAAATCAGGTATATATTTTATACGGCTGCACAGCATAGATTTAGATGACAGTTTGTGTTAATTTTCTGAACTTATTTAAAGTCATACTTTAAGATGACCTAAAAGATTAATAGGTTTTGAGAAGCTTAGAAACAAATGTAAGCATACTTTTAGTCAACACTTAAATTTATACTCTGATGGTGATATTTGTTTATAGGACATGAACACAGCCATTCTCTATTTAATGGTGGTCTGAGCCATGGTCACAGTCATGGAGGTCATGGTCACAGCCATGAACATAAACATGCCCATGGACACAGCCATGGTCATGGCCATAGCCATGGACACTCTCATGGTCAGGATTATTGTCATGGTAAGTACTTAGTTAATGTCATAGAGCATCTTGACTTGGTTGAAATTTGCTATTGATGATTTACTGAAAAAATAAAAGAGTGGGTCCTGCAAGCTGCAAACATACATGGAAGTAGTTTCACTAAATATGCAGTATGCTATGCCACTGCCACATTCTGTGGTTCATTTTGGTAAATGGTCTTTCACTTATAATAAATTCAGTGTTAGGTAAACCAAAACCTTTAAAAACTACATTTTTTGAATGTTCACCATAATGTTCTGTGTTGGCAGATGTGGTGGTTTGACTTTGGCTAAATGCCAGGTACCCACCAAGTTGCTCTATCACTTCCCCCCACTTCCCCCTTTTTTCTCAACAGGGTAGAGAGGGGAAAGAAAGTAAGATGGACCAACCCTTGTGGGTAAAACAAAAGCAGTTTTAATATAAGCAAAGCAAAGGTCCATGCGTGGAAGCAAAAAAAGAAAACAGATTTATTCTCTACTTCCCATGATCAGGCGATGTCGGGCCTTCTCAGGAGCAGAGCTCCAATACGCAGAGTGGTTGCCTCAGGGGACCAAGGGTGACCCCACCCCCTTCCGCCTTTTTCCCAGCTTTATACTGAGCAGACGTCATATGGTCTGGAATATCCCTTTGGTCAGTTGGGGTCAGCTGTCCTGGTTGTGTCCCCTCCCAAGATCTTGCCCACCCTGTCTCACTGAGGGGGGAAAAATGTTGGGAAGAGCCTTGGTGCTGTGTAAGCACTGCTCAGCAGTAGTCACACCACCAGGGTGCTATCAACACCCTGGCAGCTCTCAACATAAAACACAGCACCGTGAGGGCTGCTGTAGGGGAAAACCAACTCCAGCTCAGCCAGACCCAGTACAGCAAGAAATGAAACAGATGTATGCTATAGAAATATAATAAAATTAATTATTATTAAGTGCTCTGTTTCAATTTTTCATTAAAATCAATAGACAAAATTAAGATGCTTTGCTGATGTTCATTTGAATAATTTTACAGATCGAGATATTAGGAAAGATGACCAAGCAGTTTGACTTTGGGTACTTAGGGATTGATATGTCATACTTGGTTTGTGACCTCAGATATAAGATTTTCCACATCTTATGTAGTTGTTTTTAAGTGGGGATATGAAAAAGATACTTGGCATCTTATCTATGCTTAAATCTTTTCTATAAAGGTGAACAATCTGTGAAGGGACATCCATGGAAAATATGATCAGTAGCCTTCACTGTGGGAGAAGAGACAGTGTGTTGTTCACTGCCTATTTGAAACAATGCAAACGAAAGCCTTATTGTAATGCAGGGTTGTCAATTCTTCCTGCCTAAGCCATAAACTAGAATCTGATGTGACTGAAAAAGTGCATGTTCAGAGCAGAGAATACTGTGGTAACTTGCAGACAGGAGGTGACAAAAGAGTATAAAAATATTTACTTGTCATTTTCTTGCTATTTTTAGTAGAAAATTGGTGCTTGTTTTCCTGGAGTTTGATGGGAAAGCAGGAACTCCCCTATCCTGTGTCTTGTTCTCTCCAGCCCCACCACCCCAGTAGAACAGGGAATGTAGCCATCTGTTTTGTGCAATTTGGTATTCAAATCAACTTTTGCATAAATTATTATATATCTTCATTAGAAGTCATTTGCTATCACTTAACAAGTTTTTCTTAAAATACCTTTCTGACAATGTCCACAGAGGAATAAATCTGCTTGGATGAGAGGATTATTTTGACTTAGTTCTACGTTCTCCAAGTCTTATTGTTGTTGTTTTACATTGGGTATAAATTCTTGCTTAAGTGAAATACTTCTGGTTAGCAGATTTATGTGACCTTAGTTTTCTTGCTTATGCGTATGGCTGGTATTCTTGAGGGGGCCTTATTTTACTAAATACTACAAAGGTCTTATTTCTCAGTTTGTTTTCATTAAAAAACAAATGTTGCTCTTTTTATTTTTACATATATAAAATTTATTGTGTAAAGTGGTATTTTGGTTTTTTTTTAAATGTGTTTTAAGACTTTTGACTTGATTGCTGCATTAAAAGACAATAGTTAAAGTATTGTGAGCAGCTTATCTGTTCAAGAAATTTCAGAAAAGGAAGACCATAACAGAATATACCACTAGAGAGAGCCTTTGTGTAGGTTAATATGCCAATAATTGTCTTCACAGATGACCATTCTCTTGAAGGGATGGCTGGATCCAGCAAACAGATTTTACAAGGTATGATAAGTATAGTGGTTTCATAGTTTTATCATGATCTGCCTGCCTATTACTGTTTAGAGGGTGCCTCTGGGTAAATGCTACATTTTTCTTAGAGGAGCTATTTTACAAAGTCCCCTTCTACCTGTGAACAGAGCAGTGCCATACCCTGTGCATAGCTAGGCATCAAGACATTCACCGAAGTCTAAATGTAATGCAGTGTCAATAGAGTTTAAGAGGGAGATCCCAAAAGCTGGAATTCAGTTTCTGTTACTGATGCTGAAAAATCAGATAATGAAAATCTAGGAAAGAGTGGGTGAAAGCAGAAACTTGAGGAGCCTAACTGCAATGTATGCTCCAGAAAGTGAAAAACAGTATTATTAAGTTAGAGTATATTTGAAAAATGCAGATTGATTGATTTATTTGTTAAAGGGTACCTGAGCTTAAAACTTGCATTTCATCAAGCTATTACAGTTGATTTAGACAAGATGGTAATTCACTCTAAATTGCTTGAAGGAGTATTGGAGTCCATGATCTAAGTGTTAGTGTAAATAAAATTACTGATAATTTAGATACCAGTTTTGAGCTTTGATTAATTATTTTTTGAAGGGTTCAAAAGTTAGAGGGAGAAAATTATGTAATGTAAGAGGGAGTATTTATTTGGCATACCAAAATGTACATACTATTTTCTCTTATTGAATGATTTTCTGTTTTGTTTGTAGTCTTTGAAAGGGAATGTTTTCAACCTTTTCTAGAAGGCATAGTATTCTGTACTACATACATATATACTTAGTACTTCAGCAGAAGATACTTGAAAGTCAGCCTTTTCATGAAAGGCACATTTTAATTGACATGTATTAAAAAGACTCAATTTTATATAATTTTAATTTTTCAATACTGTGGTGGGTTGGCTCTGGTCAGCAACTAAGCACCCAGCAGCTGCTTGCTCATTCCTCCAGGGGCACAGGGAAGAGAATTTGATGAGTAAAAGCAAGAACTACTCCTGGATTGATATAAAGACAGTTTAGTAAGTGAAGGGGGGGGGGGGGGGGGA